GGCGTACCGTGCGGCGATCCTGACACTTCGAAACAAGCACCACGCAGGTGACAAGCCCAAAACGCGCGCATTCCCCGTTACTCGAAACGAGCACACGGTTCAGTTCGCTCGATGGAGGATTCTCCGCACGTCAATCTGCGATGTCAAACAAGCCTTTATCCTGATCCAACGGCTTTACTCTGTCTGGTGGAGAAGCGACGCGTGTTTACGCAAGACATGCATGCAATGCCTCAGGTGTGATCTTCTTGATGCTGCGAGTGGATGACTGATGTGGAGAGCACACACGTCAGATCGCAGCATTGTTATGCCAAGCCGGGGCCCAGAGGATAATGTATGCACTGTGGTTGGCTGGCAGACGCGAATATGATGCGCGACGTGCGGGAGTTTAGTAGCAGCGATCTAGGCCGATTTCTGAAAGCTGAAATGTGGAGTTGGGGGCTGTTGGTTGGCGAGATGCGTGGGTGTTATACCTCGAGACCTCATCACGAGGGGAAAGCTTATCGCACTAGGTCGCCATACTTGCCAGGAGTGGATTGGGGAGTTTGTCATTCTGGTGGGTGGGGGAGTCGTCTTTGCAGAGAGAAGAGGCATGCAGCAAGCACGTCTTTGCAGTAAACAACATGCGCATCCCACGCCTGTGTCACGATACTCGATGTCGACAAACGCCCGTTCGGCGTCCAGCAGCAACGCGCAAGCAAGCAAAGTGGGTCTCTGTGTATCGTCAATCGAAAGCAGGGGGTGTCATGTACAGCCGCTGGCCGTGGCAAACGAACGTGAAACGAACTACGGTAATACAAGACGCATGCTTGCGCAGTCTCAGCTTGTCCGCTTTGACGCGCGAAGGAAGCGTTTGAGATTGATGCATGAGTGGCCGAGAACGGGTTGGAGGGGTTGTTCAGGGTAAGCGCAAGCGAGCCCCGGCGCGGGACTCGCATGACGAAGATGGAGTGACGGCTGTCATCATGACAGATTTTGGGTATCAAGCGAACGGCGGGTAGTAGGTAGATCTGCCTTGGGGCGAATGAGAGGCGTAGGAGGCAGAGTTGCATGAATTGGAATAGGCCACGGTACGAGGAATCTGGATGTTCCAAGTTGCCCTTGGAAAAGCCACACCAGCATACCTAGGTAGATTCACTTTATTCTTCGCAGTAATGTGCCATCAGAATGCACGAAGGTGTACACATCCAGGCTTCTGTGAAAGAACAAGCTTCAGCATAAAGGGCCGGGTCTTGCATGTGTTGCATTTTGCAGATAGCCGCTTGTACAAGGCCAAGCTAGAAAAATAGAAACCACCACACCTCTCATCAAAAACCAACAAAGATGCAGACGCACACCAAAACGGATCCGCAGCCTATCCAATCCCGCTACACCGCTCTGGCCGTTGAATTGGTCCCATGATCCAGGTCCGTTTGTGTGCAGTCTTGTTGGCCCTCAAGCGTCTTATCTCTATTGCGGCCCCCAGCCAATAGCCATCGCATACACTTGTCTTCGCAGCTGAAGCACCGCGGACCAGGGGGGGTCAAAAAGGTGAGCTCAGGGTGGGCCTGTGAAGATCGTCGTCGCAGCCGGGCAGCGCCTCGACTCCTGCGCTTCGCTCCCACCCGCACGTACGCAACCAAGAAAGTGCGCGGAACGTACCATGACATGGCTTGTGCGTTTGTGTTGGACCCGCTTCGTGCGAAAGAAAGACCCCGTTAACGCGGGAAATCGTGTGTCTGAAAGGATCTGTGTTATAGGTGTCTTGGCTTGTAAGCCAATACTTTAACGCACGTTTTCCCACTTGTTCGCGATCTGGATTTTTTGGTTGTCTGGCTCTTGCTTCTAGCCTCTCGTAACCTTTCCACATCTACGTACCCAGTGCCCGCCGCACTTTGCACCTTACTTCATTTAATTACTCTGTCTTCCCTTTCCTGGCTGGTCCGCCCACGTGTTTGACATACGCTTGTATATGTAATCGAATTTCGGAAAGCATTGAGCCTCGGGTCATACTATAAGAAGGATGCGTCGCCAACTTCCTCCGAGTCATCTCAAGGTTCCGCCGGGTCCGCATGCGTTTCCAAGACAACAACACTTTCTGGGTCAGGATACAGTTGTCGTGAACCATTACTCGGGTTTTGAAAAGGCGATTCCTGCGATACCGTCTTTACCGGGATTTAGGACGAGTGCTGGTATGTTTGGCTCTGTTTGGTTTTCTTGGGGATGGTCGTGTGCTCGGTTGCCGCGACTGGGGTTGTGATGTCAACCATGCAGCGAGTTCGACGCGCGAGATTTTTGGGTACGAATACGAGCTAACGCGCAACAACAGCATTCTTGACGTCGCTGAGCGCAAACCTCAGGATTGATCCTGACCTCCCATCGCCGCTACCTACACCAACGTCGTTTCGATTAAACAACTTCGTCCAAGAACTTCCCTCCACATCGCTGTCCTACTCAACGCTGCCTGCACAGTACAATCCGTACCCCTCGCCTGCCGAATCCCAAGCCATGTCGTCGACCGAACCGAACGCGCCGGCCAAGTCGCCTACGGATGAACTGCCGCAACTCTCTACCTACACTGCTGAGACAGAGGAGGACCGAATCGAAGGCTTACGCTTGGTCGCAGATTCCGTGGCACAACAGCGCCAGGTCGCCAGCAAGGTCATGCTGTTCCATCCAGTTTCACTAGCCGCGTACTTTGTGGTTGTGGCTTTTGCTGCGCAATACATGCTACGCTGGTACGAGGACAAAACGATGTTGGCCACAACCATTGGAGGCATCACAATGGCTTTCCTCATCTTCATTCGATGGATGACCGGTGGCTACATCGGTATGGCCGAGGATATTAACATGGATTGGCTGGGCGATGACAGGCTCATCGTGGTGAAGTGGGGTGAGGACGTCATCGGATCCTTGGTATTGGGTTGGGCCGATAATGATGCCGCGAAGAAGCGTGGCAGGAGAAGGCGAGGCAAGGCCGTTGTACGCGCTTGGACTGTGAAGTTAAAGTACCGCGGCAAGGGTGTTGGTGGGGGCTTGTTGGAGGAGGCTGTCAAGGTGGCAGGAGAGCGAGGCGCAGATGGCATTGTCTTTGATGCCGACCATGCCAGTAAGATCACGTCTACTCATATCCTCAGGTCATCACTAACAGAACATCAGACTCCAAGCGTATCCTCCCTGCCATCTTCAACGGTTACCTCAACAAGCAAGACGCCAAGGCCGAGAAGGCTCTACAAAAGGTTGCGGACGCGAAGGGCAACTTCCGCCAGCGTCAGAGCTCGCCCACTTGGGGCAGCAGGTAGACATATACTACATTTTTCTATTTTAGGGCAGCAGATGGGGTGGTGTTTTGCTTTCATTTTGGCGCGGCGACGAGTTTTCTACTGGATGATACCCCATTCCTCTCGTTGATGATACCCCAAACGATCGTTATCGTTGCAAGCATCAAGCTTTCCGTACTTGCTTTTCCATGTTACCGTTTCGGTATCGAGCTCTTGTCGTTATCGTCATCATACAGATCATCAGAGTCATAATACACGATTACAGAGTAGTTTTATTGGTAGATCACAATGACAGTGTCTAGCAGTTCTAGTTGCATAGCGGCCAACTCCGGTGACATGATGGCTTGCATCCCGCCTGGAGCTCATAGATTAATATTCACTGATACGGCCGCATACCCGGCTATTCCGCACACCATCCTCAAACTCTGTGGTTGTAAGCCGGGAAGCTCTTATCGCGACATGTTTCCTGATCCATAGACGTGTGGGAAGACAAGCGGCATGTACTGATAACGATGCATTAACCTTTCGATATCAACACCTTGGCGTCAGATTCCGGTTCGCTGGTAGATTTGCCCCGCGTTGCTCGCTACTGCCCCTCCATGTACAAGGGGAGATTAGGCTTTCCAGGCTTTCCGTCAATGTTGCATGATGCATGCCAAGTATGTACATGCGGAACCGTAGGCGATGGCTTAGCAACGCCGATCTGTAGAGAAGTTGGATGCTGTACTGATAGCGTTCCAGACTCTTCACGGGAAGGAAGGAACCACCGCCGCTACTGGTCAAACTCCCCCTCTCGCTCTTTTGTCGGTTTGCATGTGAAGTTACAAGCTGACACAACGAACCGCCGTGCAAGGCTGCACAAGAGCAGTTTCGGACTCCGAGTCTAATCGGTTCAACGCGCGGCTGCACCGGCCTCTGTGTCACCGTCGACTGAACTCGTTGGGTATTCCTCGCGTAGCTGCAATATGACTTTCTGTGGCACAGTCAGTATATTTAGTGCTCAGCCAAAAAAGCCTCAACTTCAAAGCGACAGTGCGAACCGCGCGCGAGGCGATCTGCTGTTACACCTTGCTGTGCCGCAGAGCTACGTACCGCTAATGCCTCCGGGTTCGCGCCGTTCTCGATGAGCGATACGCAGTAAGACAGTTGCTGCCGATCCAGGTGGGTGTTCTGGGGCTTATGTCAGATGTCGGGCGCTTCAGTAAGGCGCAGTGTTTCGTACTAGCAATGTTGCGATTTCATGAAGAATGTCGATGACTTCGCGAGCGGCCTTTCGGCGGGCGTCGGCTGAGGTTTGCTCGGCGGCTGGCATCGTCGGTGTACTGTGTAGGTCTGAGGTTCCTTGAGAGAAGACAAGTTCGGAGTTGCGGGGTTTGTTGTTTGTTTACAGTCTATGGATTTATGCAGTTCAAGTCGCGTGTAGGAAAGAACTCCACACGCGGCGCGTTCCGCACGTGAGCTCCTTGGCGCATCTTGCCCCTCTAGGTACTCGATCGGAAAGTCGGTCCTCACAGCACATTTCCTTCACACCAAGATGGTGTTCTGACATCACCATCATTATGACGACAGATGGCCCACTGGTACTCAGGCACGTAATGACAGAGCTTTATAATGAGAGCTCGCGTGCTTGCTGGAATTACTCTGTTGACAACACACAGCTTCATTTGACCATCTGAACAATTCCAAGTTTCTCAGCGTCTACAAATTTCAAACTAGTTTTCAATCGTAACTAGATCAGACATCATGGCACCAGACCCGCACCAAGGAGGCCGTCTAGAAGACATGGCTGCAGAGGGCACGACCATTCCTGGCGATGCTGGCAAGATGAACGTGGTAAGTGCGGATATCGGATCCAGGTATCATATGCTTCTGTGAAGTACAATATAATTAACCAAGATTCAGGTTTCACCCTCTGACCACCCAGATCAGACTCACACGAATCTCGCACATGCAGCAGATAACGCTTTCGACATACCGCGCAGTGTGAACGACCGCGGACAAACAGGCGAAGTCATAACTGGTACTGGCGACCAGCTACCGTCAAGTATTGAGAAGAAGAACCTGGATGACGCGGGCTTCGACCCAAGGGCAAAGGGTCACGACCAGTACGCGAAGCATGCTCGGCAGGATAATCCTATGGACAGCTTGAAGCATGGAGCTGGTAGTCATGACGTGGAGGCTGCGCCCGGTGAAGAGGAAGAGAGTCAGGATGCGCTTCTGAACAAGAGAGGTGCGAAGTAGGTGATGCAAGACGTCGCACTTCATGTATATATTATATGACTTTACGACCGAACAAATAGCCAAGAGGCGCGAAATAATCAATTCGAGAAACATTACGTTCACTCCCGAGTTGTGATCGCTGTGATGTATTGCATGCATGCTACAGACCCTCAAGTACCTAGGGCTGTGGATACCCCGCTAGACCCCACACGTGCCTTCCATTTTCACGATCCCGGCAACTTTCTCACTTGCTGCTTGAACCAAACACTTGAGATCAAGCGTTCCTGTCCGCAAAATGGTGTACTACTTCTCGTCCAACACGGTGTCGCCGTCAGCCTTTATCTACGTCGGCAAAGACAAGGTTGAGAGTATGTGATTTCTGACCTGCCAGCGTACTCTCAGTGGTTCACGCAACTACAACCGCACATACTGATCACCTCAACAGACGAAGAGCTTATCAAATACGGCTGGGACGAAGATGTCTGGTTTCACGCCGACAACCTCTCTTCGGCCCATATCTACGTCCGGTTACCCGAGGGCGAAGATTGGGAAAACATGAGCAAAGAGTTGCTGGTGGACTGCGCGCAACTAACCAAGGCGAACAGTATTGAGGGCAACAAGAAAGACAACGTTACGATTGTGTATACGCCTTGGAGCAACCTGAAGAAAGATGGGAGTATGGCTGTAGGTCAAGTTGGGTTCAAGGATCAGCGAAAGGTAAGCGCATTGCCATGAGGCAGAAAACACTTGCGTCACGTCCCTTGGCTCGACCGCAACTTATTGCTCAATTTGCTGATGGCATCTTAGGTGAAGCGCATACATGTGGAGCAGCGAGAAAATCCTATTGTCAACCGTCTTAACAAAACTAAAGTTGAGAAGTACCCCGACCTAAGAGAGGAGCGAGAAGCGAGGCGGGCGGAGTTGAGGAAGCGAGATCAAAGTGCTCTGCAAGCCAAGGTATGTGTATTCCCCAAGTCTCGTTATCCTGCTTTGTTCTGCATGTACTATGTTCGCATGACCCCTTTTTCCAACTACGTCCGTTCTCATGATCTATCCTGTCATTTGCAATCTCTCCGACACTCTACATCTCCTACCACGGGTGTTCTGACCCAGACGCACTGTTTCGGTTCGCACACGCGACTTCGACTCGCGACTAATGATTTATAGCGCAAAGAAGAGGCCCGTATAGCCAAGGAGCGCAAGGAGCTTGCGTGGCGGAGAGATCATGCCTACGACGATGTCATGACAGAGGAGAGTCTGGAGCAAAACTCCAACGAGAACCGCGATGAGAACTTCCTCGATGACTTCATGTGAGGTCTTTACTCGCGTTTGTGTATCCCGCAGATGACGTGGGCACCACAGTAGCAATGGTGTCGGCATAGCGGGGTCGCTTCAACTGGGGTCGCGAACAGTCATGGCTGGAAGGCATAGGCCCATGCTCTCGTTCAACATGCGGATATTATGGTTGAAGGTATCGTACGCGGTGGTCTTGACCTCGAGGTCCTCACGCGTCCTGAAAGAGTCAGCTGCATGGCATTGAAGACGGATGAGAACTGGCTACATACATGGCGTTTTTCGGGTTGTGCTTATTGCGACCTCCATGATTCTGTACCCACCATACGAACAGCAGATTCTTCACTATCTTGTGTTCGAGACCGTTCTGCCTAGTCGCATACTGCAGGAACTCTATCGTGTTCTGTATCCTCTGTGGGTCATAATCGGTCGCGGAGCCTTTACGAAAGGCTAGGCGAATGCGGTCGCGCAATGTATATCGAGCCGGCTTCGAGAACTGGATAGCTCTGAGACTGTGCCGGTATAGGTGCCTATACGCGTGAAGAACTGCTTGCTGTGACATGTTCTGGAGCCCAAGCACAGCACTTCACGCTGTGACCTCGGATGCTGGGTCGGCGGAAGGTAACGCCGACGCGCGCAGCCGCCACCTGCGCTCCCAGTGCCAACCTCGCCAACTCTTCAACACCACAACACGTACCACCCAACACCCCGCCTGTGCCTTTGCATCGACCGGGGCTTGTAGATACGCAATCCGGATTCGTTCTGGACAATTGCACGACATCGTGACTGCTGCGCTTACCGTATTAATCGCTGAACACGCCGTGTCAGGCCACATAGGGTGCTCACTCGTCCAGTAGCGACTCATATTGCCCTGGTCCGCTGTGGGATCTATGAACATCATCTGCATACCAGAGCCATGACCAGAGTATATCATCCGCGTGCGCAACAGCCGCCCCAGCGCGGCAGTACGCTTGATCAGTCACGAGCCGCCGTCAAGAAGAAGAAGCCATACAAGATCGTGCTAGAAGCGGTAACCCAAGAGAAGAAGAAGCTACATTCCATTGTCCGTCGGCGACGCGATTTCATCGTCATATAACACCACTGACTGTAGAATAGCTGACATACGCGTCCAACGCCCCCACTGGCTTCGGTTTCATCCCAGCTGGACACCCCGAATTCACAGAATGGTGCAAAGAGCAGTGTCGACAGCGCAACCTTGACGTACACATCGTCTCTGTGAGCATCCGGTCCCTCCCAAGCCAACAGGTCATTCACTGACAGCGTCGCAGGCCAAGCCGAAGAACAAAACCCACTCCGATCCCGAGAAGCTATCTCACCACGTCCACCGAGTCGGACACCACTTTCCTCTCACCATCATCGAACTTGCCTGCAACAAGTTCGGATATCTCTACGATGAGAGACGCGGCCTGCGGAAGGACAAAGAAGGTGACAGAACCAACTGGATAGCCCAAGAGTTTGAAGACTACTCTTCGCGGCAAGTACAACGAGGGCATCCCGCCACTGAGAAGGAAACCAAGGGTTACATCCACGGCGCCGTTCGCGAGATGTTTCCCAAGATACCAGAGGCAGATCTACAAGCCATTGTTTCTCATGCGTTTGAGGAGGGAACTAACCGGGTAGGTAATGCTAAGGAGCTTTCGTTGGCTCGTAGGGTGCAACTCGCAGTTGTCGCGCATATCCGCCACACATACACAGACTACGATAAGCTGCTCAAGACTGACGGCTGGTCGGAAGCCCGTGGCCAAGTCGAGAAAGTCTCTCTTGCGAAACTCAAAGAGTGGCGAGATGAAGATGGAAAGCAAAGCAACGAACTTGAGGAAACCTTCCGTGAAGTCATTGTTCTTGACGATGATGATGAAGCTAGCAGCGATGAAGGCTCCATGGCCACGCCTGATGAGCGCGAGCAAAGCATGGAAATTGTTTCCAGTCGTGCTACTGCGCGCGATCTACAGCCGGAACTACACGCTAACTACCCGAGTGGGGATGTCCGCAACATGAGACCTTCATCAAGAAGAACCATTGTCCTTCCGCGCTATGCTCCTCCTCCACCGCCACCTGTATCATCTGGCACCTCACGTTTCCAGTCACCTATGCAGCAGCCTTTCCAATCATTGCGAACGAGGACAAACGATCCGTAAGTGCATGCGACAGCTGATATCGAATTTAATACTCACGACTGTAGGCGAGCGAGACCAGCCGAGGCTGGCCAGAGTGTGAGAAACGCACAGCCGATCGTGCGTGAGATCAACGGCCAACTATACCAAGTGAGTGTTCGACAACCAAGCTCTATGAGCGAGAGAAAACGGTATCCTAGTCCTTGGCTTCTTCTTGAGCTAACACGCATAGCTACAACCCATCAAGGAAGATCGTGGTGCGTCGAGGTTACAGTACAACGACCCTCCTTTGCACGCTGCGCCTCGTCGCGTACAGGAAGGATATGTTCAGCCTCCATCACCTCGTCACAGTGCCTTTGACAGACCACTAGCGCACCCAAGGCGCCCATCAGACCAAGATGTTGTGCTCCCTTCTGTTGAGCCTGAGACAGTCGATTTGACATCACCACAACATATTGCAACTTCTCAGCAGCCTGCCCGAAACCATAACGCGAATCCAAACAGACCATATAACGAGCTGCAATCGCCAAAGCGAAAAGCGCTCCCTTCTTTTGCGGATGACAGACAGTCTCAGGCCGAGCAACACGCCAAGCGTCTAAGGCCCGTATACCGTGAGGAAGCTCGCCCCCGGACTTACGGAGATGATCAAGCAGGATTCCACATGAGCCAGCGCATGGCGTCCAATTATGGGCCAAGGCCACCGCCGCCTAGAGAGCAAGTTATTGATCTGACCACCAGTCCTTACCAGCCACCTTCTAGTGGTGGTAGAGGTTACGATGTCTCTGCACGCCCGGTTGCGCCTGCTGATCCCCGTGGATATGCATATGCTTCTGGACCGTCTCACCGAATGCATGCGCATGAAGTGAGAGGTGCACAGTATGATGTACACCCTGTTGATCCGTCTCGTGCTTACGTGCCTGACAATAGGATGTATGAGAGGCGCGTCCAGCCGAACCAGGACTACATTCCGCTCCGAGAGGATCAGCAGCCACGACGTCTTGAAGATGAGAGTGTGCGATACTTGAGGAGCGGTGTACGTTATGGCGGATGATTGCTTTGACATGCATTGGTAGCAGGACGGGCGGAGTTTTGCGGTTTTCACTACGGACGATACCCTTTTCCTTCTGTTTATTGCGTTCCCGGAGTCACGCCCCCTGGAGATTACCGATTCCAGTCACTCGCATGTCGCGTGTCGTATGATCTGGTTGCACACTCAGTGCATACTCTTGTGAATAGCGAAGCGGATATTGTGCATTGGAGACCATGGTCGGGCGATTGCCAGATATCAGCATGACGACAGCAGGTGTTTGTCAACTATGGATGGATACCAACAGCTACTGGTTGAGGGTAGATGTACGATTGAAAAGAACTCATGTATGATAATGCGAAGCCACCAAAGACGTGCGCAGAACAAACAAAATTACTAAGATACTACCTCCCAACTTGAGTGAATGTTTGCATTTGTCTACATGCTCATTTGATCCAAGCAACTACTTATGCATTTGCGCGTACTTCTCCATGACGCGCTCAACCACTTTCCTCACCTCAGCGGCATCCAACTTTTCTTTCCGGTCCGGTGTGTATACTCCGTTTACCTCTTGCTCAATGTCTGTAAGCTGCGTATACACGAACCCACAGCAATGTCCTCCGTCTACAATCCCGTCCATCATCTTTTCGATGCGCTTTAGCAAGTCCTTGGGATCAGTAGCAGTGGTGTAACCCCAGTCCCTCTTCCTATCCTCTTCACCCGCAGCCGATCGCGCAATGTTGACACCGCCAAACTCTGTGCAAATAACGGGTGCACCAGGAATGTGTTTCGACCCGGGATCCGACAAGCTCTCAATAGGTGCAAGGAACGTTGGTCTGTTCGACTGCTTCTTCATGATGCCGTCTAGCGTCGAGCAAGTTTTTGTAAGCTCATCCGCGTCGGCGTAATCGTGGAATGTGGTCAAGTCAGTGATGACGTGTTCCCAACCACAGTTATCGTTGATGGGTCTTGTCGAGTCCAACACTTTGGTCGCATAGTACAAGCTCCTGATGTGGTCTCTCTGCTGCTTGCTCGTGTGGAGATCAGTGTATGCCCAAGACTCATTGACTGGCGTCCAAGCAACAACACAGGGGTGGTTGCGATCGCGTAAGACGGCTTCCCGCCACTCTTGGTCCATGCGCTCTACATACGCCTCGGAGAATGCGTATGCATTTGCCATTTCACCCCACACTAGCAGACCCAGACGATCAGCCCAGTAGTGGAATAGTGGGTCTTCGACCTTTTGGTGCTTGCGGCATCCGTTGAAGCCCATCGCCTTGGTCAACTCGATGTCTAGCTTTAGTGCGTCGGAGGATGGAGGTGTCATGAAGGTCTCGGGCCAGTAGCCTTGGTCTAGGAAGAGCGCTTGGAAGTATGGGCGGTTGTTGAGTCGGAAGGTGGAGTTATCCCAATGGAGAGAACGCATTCCGGTTGTGGTGTGGACTTGGTCGATGACTTTGTTTTCATTGTCGTAGAGGCGGATAGTCAGATCGTATAGAGTGGGCTCCTCCGGAGACCAGAGGGCTAGGTTGTTGAGCCATGCTGTCGCGTCAGAAAGTGGGGCAGTGGATGTAAGAGGCAGCTGTGAAGTCTGGGAGTCGGAAAGTCGCATGTTGGTGCTCAAGGAAGCAGTGTCTGAGTCTCTTGGAAGAGCAACCTTCTCTGTCTTGCTGACGGGCACACCTGCCAGGCTGGCTTCGAGCTCTACGCTGTATGCATGTCCAGCAGGCCTTCCTATGATTTTGATGCTAGCTTCCAGCTTGCCGCTCTCGATATCATTGCTCTTGAATAGCGTGCCCGCGCTTGCATCTCCAATCGCCACAACAGGCACTGATTCAAGCCACACGCTTTGCCAGATACCGCCACTGGGCGTGTAGAAGATACTCTCTGGCTGAGCCTTCCAGTACTGCTTTCCTCGCGGTTGTGTCAGATCGTGTGCAGAATCAAATACGCGGATGGTGAGTCTTTGGGCCTTCTCCTCCGTGAAGGCATCCGTGATATCGATGTCAAAAGGCACATGCCCACCGCGATGGCCACCAAAGAAGCGCCCATTAAGCCAGATCTTGGCTTCGTAGTCGACGGCTCCGAATCTGAGCACCACACGGTTTCCAGCCGCCTTCTCGTCCATAGTTCTCGGGTCTGCAATGACCCTCTCGTACCACAGTACCTCATGCACGCCCTTCTCCTCGATGCCAGAGGCCGGGCATTGAAACACGTACGGAACCTGGATGTTCCTCTTCTCATGTACAGTATGTTCATTTTTGAATGAGTTACCCTGCAGCAGCTCTTGAGTCCCAGCGGCTATCTTGGCTGTGATGCTGTGCGCTTCGGTGTTCTCGGCGCTATTGGTGTTGGTGGGGTTCACGGTGATCTTGTCCGGGAGAGAGGTCAAATGCCATCCTTGGGTCAAGCCAACATCGTTGTCGTCAAAGAGGAACGACCATGGGCCATTGAGGGGTGTCCATGTTAGGTCTTCGCGAAGGAAGTCGGGACGGGGATAGGAAGGTGGGGCTGCGGGCGGCATGCTGATTTTCTGGATCTTGAGAATGTATGGGATGCGATGATGGGAGAAAGTAAGCTGTTACAGATGAAAGATGAAGACGTGTTATAAAAGTTAGCATTCACGTGAACTTGATGCAGCGTGGTGGAGATGTGGAGAGAACACTGGGTCGAGTGAGCACCGAGCTCGATTAGGACTAGACTGGTATGGGTACATCGTCGCTTTGGATCATTCCAAGGTTGTCCTTCCTCTTTCCATCTCTTTCAGAACGCCGTTCATCAACACAACACTGCGACAAGACAAGTACATGAACCTAGTCGCGTACCGCGTCAATGAAGCCAGTACTACTGGCCATTCTTCGCTCCATGCTGTGCGCTAGCGCCTTTGCATCCTCCAGTCAGAACCTCCAAGCTCGCGCTTCTATTGAGCGCAGTGTTACGAATCTGGTGTCGATGCTCGATATGCACGACAGATCCATTAGGGCGAGTGTAATGCCCAGACGACACCGTCCAAGGGTTCTGAGGCAACACCATAGTGGGTTCTGGATGCTCGATTAACAGAAGACTCACAGCAGTTAGAGAGGAAGACGATGACTTACGAGGCATGCCGCCCAGAAAGGCGTTGATATTAGCCGCTGAATTTCCCTTGCCTCCACTTGCAGAATCATCTGCACTGGTAGGCTTCCCGGAAGAGGAGGTTGTGCTGGGTTTAGAAGTCATTGGAGGCTATAGAAATACTGTGGACAACCTTTTGGCCTTTGGCGTATGATTTGCAGGTAAGTACAACAAAACCGCACTGCTGCGGTGACGACTCATTTATATTTACCTTTACCATGAGTGTACAGCCTGAGGGAGGGTCTCTCAAGGCGTTCCATTATGTCAAGAAAGAGATAGCTCGTGCGGGAATATGATCGTTCAGTTGGGGGTCTCAGCAGCTCTTGGATAGCTGGACTAATTGTTTCAAGAGCATACGTACGGCGGCACATCGGGGGTCTCAGTATTTATATGGGGCGAACGAGGGCCTCATCATGCTCAATTTATGGGTATGCATATCACCTCGGACGAGCTAAAGTCAGTTATCGAAAACGTTGCTTAAGCTTCGCCTGCAATTAGTAAAACCGCGGGGCATGATCTGTGAACGGAGATACGGTCCATGGTCGAGGGTCTCAATACACAAGGCTTAGCGAAGTGCCCGGGTACGCATTCAGTAGCGAAGGCGCATCAGCTTCGCTCTCAGCCTCATCAAGAGGCTATGCACTGGAGTTATGAGCAGCCTAAGGCCTTGCAGTAATAATCACCGGAATCGTTCCTACGTCAAGGATACGCCTCTGCAGGACATGGGCCAGGCTTGCAAGACAAGAGGGGGGTCTCAATTAGCTTGTAGCGAGGACGATCCAATGTAAGCTCGTCGAGGCCAACGAAAAAGGCGGCACACTGAGGGGCCTCAGCTGGCTTCCATTTGTTTTCTTGGCTTGATTGGATGATGCGTCGCGTAGCTGACCATGCATGCATGTGCATGTCGACGCTAGATCGAAGGACGCGCACGGACCTGAGACCCCCCTCCCTACCCCCATCGCACATTTACCCACTGCTTGTCCCCTCTGTATATAAGGGAAGCGCCTTCCTCACCAGAAGGTGCTACTTTTACTTTGACAGAAGTGTACGATAGTCTAACAAGACGGCAATAAGTCACCCCAGACGCACTTGCCCTCCTGGGCTGCGTCTGAGGCTACCTACTAGCCTTCGGTGTTATTCACCTTTCTCTGAAGTCAGTTCGTGTACGTTCTATTTACATATGAGGGCATCTCTAACAGATTTTCTAGATCCAATAATATTCGAGATTGACGTAGCGCAAGGCTACGGTAGCCTTGCGCTGTTTCGATACCGACAGCACATTATGATCATTTGAACAACTGTCCTCGACTCCTCCAACAACGCTTTTGGTGGCACCCTCTTCAAGATAGATGGTTTACGAATACTTTACTCGAAAGAAGCAATAAAGGGCCCGACAATATCAAGCCATCGGTCTTGATGACTGTAGCATCACTGGGAATTGCCTTCCAAACTTCGGATGTCTCTCGAAACATCATTATAACCAACCCATCGGCCTCTAACGAGGTGCAGATCGATGACGGAACATCTGACATTTCTGTATCCACGCGGCATTATTCAGTCGACAGTCTTCTATCACCCGGCAAGGATCGATCCACCCCTGCCCAATGTAGCACGCGGTCCGACGACAGCTTGGAGCATTCCAAGAAGCATTCACCCCAATCATCGAGCTCTGCTACTACGACTTCAGATCAACCTGATTATGGTAGTCCCAGTCAGCAGCTTCAACGCCGGCACATTCAAGAAGGGAGGAAAAAGCATCGCTGCACTGAATGCTCCAAGAGTTACGATCATCGCAAGAACCTGCGCGATCACGTACAAAGCATTCATACCGAGGATCGGTATGAATGTCCCGTTGAAGGCTGTAGGGAGAGCGTAGCACATCAGAAGAACCTCAGAAGACACATTGCCGCAAAACACGGAAGCTGCACTGGCATTAAAACCACACCATCCAGAGCTACCAAACCACCATAAAGTCGATACCGCAATTGAGAGTGAGGATTTGCTGGAACAATATGGCCAAGGCTGGCAGGCCCCGGTGAATTGGCTCCGTTTTCGGAACATGCGGCGGAGACCTTGAAACCGAGCATATTGAGTACACTGAAACTGTTCATCACTGAACAGTGCATTAGTAGTACTGCAGTATCACGGTATAAGAGAAGTAGTACTTCCAGCATCCCTCTTGAGTCTTGGAAGTCCTATGGTCTTTTCCTTTGTTGATGGTCTTCATTTCGACAGGACAGAAAGTAGAAGGTTTCTTCTGTGTTTCGGGATCTGTAACATTTCGTATTCCTTTTGTTTATATGGACCTCGCAGTTTATCCCCGAGTCACGCCCACCTGGCTTGCGTGGGAGCATGTAATACGTGGTGGGAAACATATACCCCAAACCTCAGCAAACTTTTGTTCTCTCTGACATATTGCCCTTCCCTTCTTTTGAATCAGTGCACCCACACAGCTCCATGCTATTAAGTTAGATCGCGCGGAGCAAGTCTCACAGCCTGCGGAGCTAGATCCCATTAGCTTGATGTTGTTGCGCTGCGGATGCATGCCCAACTTACCGACATAAGACGGGTTGACAACATTTTTACCAGTGACCCTCTTAATATCCTCAAACACGACGTCCATAGGAAGAAACATTCCTTGTCCAGTACTAGTCACTCCAAAGAGCAGACCGAGCTGTGTGCCTGATCCCTCGTGCAATACTACACTGCCATTGTCACCAAACTCGCAGAAGTCCCTCCTCTCGTCACTGCTAACCACGCCAAAACATGCAGCCACATTTTTCGCATCTATGCCATTATCACCCGAGATCTCATCGTCTGCATCAGGGTTGATGATGATCATGCAGGCGTTGATGGTGCCGGCCGTCCAGCCACTCGTGCGCCCGTATTTGGCAACGTGCACTTCTTCTTTGTTGGCATTGAAGGTTGACCATTGCCTGCACTGCTGTGTTGGGACAAGTATCGTCTTGTTAGAGTAAACATCAGGTAGTCTGTTGGTAACGTCGCGTTTTGTCGTATCGTCCATACGAATTAACGCCCAGTCGAGTGGGAAGACGAGCGTAGGTTCCGTCGCCTTCATCTTCTCTTTGGATCGGCCAGTGTCCGGATCCGATGCGTACTTGTTGGCCTTGACAGTTCGACGGTCTGAGCCTGCGTAAACGTAGCCAATACGCCGGTCGAAGCTTTCGCATTTCTTATGCTCTTCACTCTTCTCTTCGTGCAACATCTTGCATTTCGCATCTCCGTTAGCAGCGTAAGTATGATAAAGTGTGATATGATTTTGCAGCATTTCGAGGTAGCCGTGATGGTCGAGCGTCGCTGGAGATACCATGGCTTGAGGCGTGTCGGCTAGAGTCTTGTCATCGACACCTAGAGCCTTGTTGGCTATGTTGGAGATGATGCTGTCAAGGCGTGCATCGCGGACGCCGTGCCAGCTCGTTAATCCGCATCGAATGCCGCCGGACAGGGTCACAGATCCACCCAAAGTACTGCAACCTTTCTCATCACCCGAAATTCCAAGAGAGGATCCCATATCGGCTATTTTGGCGTAGGATGAGCCGTTGACGCTGTCGGTCAAGCTATTTCGCCTCTTTGTTCCCAGCATCGTCTTCCCACACAGTATTTCGATGCCGAATTCGGGAGCTCTCTTGGCAATCTCAGCCATCATCGAAGGCACCACAATGTCGAACCATTTGGGATTGCGCGCAGTCGGTGTGGTGATGACAATTGTTGGTGAACATTCCTGGCGCTCGTCGATCAATCCTCGATGCAGAATCTCCACTGAGAGCCATTCATGCTTGCTCAGCAAAGACAAAACATCTGGAGATATAGCTTCCCATTGCTGGTGTATGTCATACTCATCATGGCGGATAGGGAAAGACATCATGCCGGAGGAGTGCCTTGCTCGATAGTCTATACACTCGATTTGGATATCCTCAGTCCAGGAATTATCGCGGAAGCTAGCTCTGATCTTGATGATAGCATCTTCAATGTCCTGATGAGCGTGCTTCAACATGTCGACCCGTATGAAGAGCGTCAAATGCGCAATATTGTCGTTCTCCTCAGTAGCATCCCGAGGAACTCGGAACGCAAAGTGGAACGCGGTAGTCCCACGTAGCAAGCCATGTGCTATCAGAATGTCTTGCACATCATGCAGTATCTGATATGAGCCTGGTATCATCCATCTCGCATCTATGTCGGTGTCCATCGGCAGAGGTGCAAGTGTCGGCCAGCCCATACGATATGGAACGTGTCCGGGATCCATCTCTTTGCGAATCTCTTCGTCGGTACGAGATGTATAGCGCCTGCGTTGGGACATTGTGGGAAGTAGTCGATGGGTTAATCTAGTTCTTGGGAGATGGTCGCGGGCTAGGTATGCAGTAAACTGCTTTTGCCTCGTACGAAGAAGAAGTTCGATAGGCTGGCTGGAGTCTACGTTAATATTTAACTGTGGGATTGCAAGATGTCAAAGGCGATTTAGCTGCCTAGGCTTTCTGTGAAGATGTTTTCTGTGGGACGTTAATGTTCAATGTTCTCCAAATAGTGTACTGGGCGTGGTGGTAGAAGCTGTGGAAACCAGAGCACAGGCCTGTGGAAGAGAAATTCGGCCCAAGCCAGTGTGTACCATGGTTACACGACTGGCTATGTCGTATTGACCACTCACATGTTTTGAACTCGAATAAAGCACTGGACGAGGATTCAGCGCGATCCATTACATCATAAACCGACTATGGAACGTATCAACCTCATAGAGACCAGTCACCCTCACGGATATCTGGTCAGAGACGAACAACGACAAGGCTCCCAGGCTTCCCACATGGTATCGAGACTGCTACCTTCCCTTCCCGCATCGCGTCTTTATTCTCGATATGTCGGTCATCCACTCATCAGTTTCCTGGCCCATATCCGCTAGATAATGGATAGCTACTTCCAAATCTAGCCTCGAATCGAAGGTCACGGCCGTATCGTAGGTATCCGGCATAGTACCAATCGACCGCACCGGGACCACGCAGGCGTTTTACACCTCTGCGTCTGCCGCGATAATTCCCCGGTCCCATCGGCTGGTAGCCCAGGTCTACATCAAACTAAGAGAGAGAAAATTAGCATTGTGTCACTAGATAGTTCTAGCCTCGTGAGGAGACGAGAAACATGTCGATATTCGCAGGCCTGCAGCATCATTGTGTAGTAACAGCTCAGTAATATTTTGGGGGTATCTAGTAGGTAAATGGGAAGATAGATGTTCAATGGCCAAGTCGGATAATAATGGTGGTGCGAGAAGCTCTTTCGCGCAACAGCCAGTGTTATACGCGCGAAATCCACTTGCTCAACTCACTGATGGCTCATCAGCCTGGTCGTCGGAGTCGTCGGATATCTCGATGAGGTCTTCGGCGTCGCGCCTAGGCCTCTTCTTGCTGGCTTTGCCGCCGGAGCCGACGGCGTCGAGGAACTCGTTGTTGTCGATCTTGGACTGGAGTTTGGGCGCGGATGCAACGTCTGCGAGGAAGAGGCGGTCGTTGTACGCATCGAAGGCTCGCTCGTCCTACAGCATGATTAGCTCGTCACCAGCGAGATGGAGCGCGAGACGGAAGGACGTACGTTCTCGTCGTAGTAGTCGAGCCTCAGCCACTGCTCTTGGTTGGTCGACTTCATGAAGGCCTGAGTCAGCTCTGCGGCAGTGTCACCACCCGTCTTCTTGACTTGGGCGAGGAAGGCCTTTGGTTCGGCGACCTTGGCGCCTTCCTGTGACTCCTTCTCGCGGCGGCGCTGGACAGCTTCTAGCTGGGCGGAGGCGTCGATCTGGTGGAACTGTGTGCGGAGTTGAACGAGGCCGTTGCAGCGGGTGAGGTGGAGCTCGTCTGCGCCGAGTCAGTCTTGAAGCGATGATGGCTGGTGTCGCACGCTACTTACTGTCGCGGAAGGTGCCGAGCATGTAGCTGGTGCCCTTGCCGTCGTCTTGCATGATCTGGCCACCGAACGTCTGCGTGTTGAGGACGTGGCCCTTCTCGTTGGCGTCCTCGAAGTGGGTGACGTACTCCTCAAAGTTGTCGTCGTCCTCGGTCGCAATGGGCGCTGCGGGGGCTCCTCCCTCACCGGCGGCGCCAGGGCGGTTGGTGCTGCGCGGCATAGTGCGCTCGAAGCCGGAGGCGATACCGAAGGCCTTCTGGCCAAAGCCCTTGGTCTTGCGCATGGCCTCGCCCCAGCGCACACCGGCGACGCGGTTGTAGTTGCGGTGGATGTTGACGGGCACGTCGACCTCAATGAAGCCCGACTCTTTCTTGAGGCGCAGCTGTGAGGGCTGGCTCTCAGTGGCCTTGGTGAAGGGCTGGTCGGGCGGGCGGTTCAGGTACTGCAGCACGTACAGCTGCTGCTCGGCCATCTCGGGGGTGATGTAGACGTCGTACTCGGCCACGACGGGGTCCTCGTCTTCGATATCCATGGCCGCTGAGTTGGCCATTGTGTTAGCGGAGTCTGCTTTGGTGTTGTGGAGAGCGAGGGCTGGACGTACAGGCCATTTTAAGTGGGCGCGTCGGGGCTGCAAGCAAAAAGAGTCGCGGTCACCCAAAGTTCCAAAAGTCCAAAAGTCACAAAAGTCACGGCCGCCCCGCAACGCGAAGTCGCGTGGAGCCGCGGCCCGTGCAGCTCAATGACGGAATGCATCCGATGTCTCCAGCCCGCCAACCACGATAGTTCTGTTCTGTACTTTGAGCTATCCACAAGCTCTAACAGAATATCGCCATGGCTTACATTGCACCCATCCACCGGCCAAGCAGCGTCCGGCATGCGCTCAAGCTCAACTTCCTCGCCCCAGAGGAGGATTGCCTCGTAGTCGCGTAAGCAGTCCGCGGGTACATGCATCACTATCTATCCAGTGCTAATACGACTGCAGCAAATCCAACAGACTCGAATTTTATACGCAGACCTCCGATGGACTGGCCCTCCAACACTCCAAAGCCATCTATGGCAAGGTCACCATGCTCCAGAAGCTCCGCCCAGCCCTATCGCCGACCGACCACCTCTTCGTCGGAACCGATCGATACATGTACTTCACCCTGTCATGGAACCCCGAAAAGAAACAATTACAGACGGAGAAATCATTCGCGAGCGTGGCCGACAATGCTGCAAGAGAGTCGCAAACGGGCGAGAGGTGTCACATCGATCCAACGGGGCGATTCATGACTGTCGAAGTCTACGAGGGCATCGTGACCGTCATACCGCTAGTCCAAAGAGGAAAGAAGAGGAAGCAAGAGGCTGATATCGCCCACCTGGGAGACCCTCAACCAGTCAGACTACCTGAGATGTTCGTCCGCTCGTCTGCCTTCTTGCGCCCACGGTCGTTCGACGACAAGCCCAAGATGGCGCTACTATACGAAGACACACACTCCCAAGTCAAGCTGAAGTTACGGGAACTCACCTACGCCGGCGAAGAGGTGGACCTACAAGAAGGCGAGACCTGCAAGACCGAACTGGAGCTTGGCTCGAGCCACCTGATACCCGTCGAGGAGCCTTCCCACGGCCTGGTAGTTATCGGCGAAACATCCATCGGATACTACGACGACGAAAGTGGGGAACTCCAGACCGAGCCACTGGACGAGGCGACGATCTTTGTGGCTTGGGAACGCATTGACGCTCAGCGATTCGTGCTCGCCGATGACTACGGTCGCCTATACATGTTCATGTTGGTCTTAAGCAGCCAAGGCAAGGTCCAATCATGGAAGCTTGACGTAATCGGGGAGACATCTCGCGCATCTACGCTGGTATATCTCGATGCTGGCTACGTCTTTGTGGGATCGCATCAGGGCGACTCGCAAGTCATCAAGATTGCAGAAAAGTCGATGGAGGTCGTCCAGACATTCTCCAACATCGCGCCTATACTTGACTTTACAATCATGGATATGGGCAACAGATCTGGTGAAGGGCAAAGCAATGAATACTCTTCTGGCCAGGCGCGCATAGTAACCGGTAGTGGCGCCTATCAAGATGGAAGTCTCCGGAGCGTTAGAAGCGGAGTTGGGCTGGAGGATCTTGGTGTGTTGGGCGAAATGGAACAGATCTCTGATCTATTCAGTCTGAAATCCACCGCCTCTGCCCAGTATGAAGACACCTTACTAGTCAGCTTTGTCAACGAGTCGCGCATTTTCCGATTCGACCCGCAAGGCGAGGTAGAAGAGGTAGACGAGTTTGCTTCGCTCGCTTTGGATGAAACGACGCTAGCCGCTGCGAACATCTCACAAGGCCGTGTTATTCAGGTTACAAATGGACGAGCCCGAATTTGCGATCTGGACGGCGGAATGATAACGTCGGAATGGATGCCGATGGGTGGTCAGGCTATCACCGCTGCTTCAATCAACGATAGTCATGTTCTTGTCTCTTTAGGAGGCGTGACTATCGTTTCTCTGAGTATGGCAGACGGCCTACAGGTTGTCAAAGAGAAGAAGTTCGGTTCAGAAAGCCAAGTCGCCTGTATTGCTCTTCCGTCAGTCTCGAGCTCTGTATGCTTCATCGGTTTCTGGAGTAACTCCCAACTCGCCATATGCTCTCTCGACACCCTGGAAGCGGTCAAGACAGTCCAGATCTCCGAAGACTCCGTTCCCCGCTCATTGCTACTGACTCAAATATTCCCGGAACAACCGCCATCCCTCTTTGCCGCATTAACAGATGGCAATGTTGTCACATACGCCTACGATCCTTCAACACATGAGCTATCAGGAAGGAAGAGCATCGTTCTAGGCACGCGTGAAGCTAGTTTCCGTGCCCTACCTCGCGGTAACGGCCTGTTCAACGTCTTTGCAACATGCGAACACCCATCCTTGATCTACTCTTCAGAAGGTCGTCTTGTATACTCCGCTGTTACAGCAGAGAAAGCGACAACAGTCTGTCCTTTCGATTCGGAAGCGTACCCTGGCTCCGTAGCCATCGCAACCTCGGAAGACCTCCGCATCGCTCTAGTAGACACCGAACGGACAACGCATGTACAAACACTAAAGGTCGATGAGACCGTGCGACGGATAGCATACTCACCTAGTCTGAAAGCTTTCGGCCTCGGCACTATTAAGAGAATACTGAAACACGGCGAAGAGATTATGCTGAGCCATTTCAAGCTCGTGGATGAGATCCAGTTCAAAGAGCTCGACACTTATGCGCTCAACGAAGAAGAGCTGATCGAATGCGTCATGCGCTGCGAACTGCCAGACGGCTCTGGCGGTGTTGCAGAGCGCTTCGTCATCGGCACTGCATACCTTGACGATCAGAACGCGACTGCAGAACGTGGCCGCATAATCATTCTAGAGGTAACGCCTGAGCGCGTACTCAAGCTCGTCACCGAAATCGCTGTAAAGGGCGGTTGCAGGTGTCTAGCCATTTGCGAAGGCAAGATCGTCGCCGCGCTCATCAAGACTATCGTAGTATACGATGTCGAATTTAAAACGCAGAGCTCTCCTGACCTGGTCAAGCTAGCTTCGTTCAGATGCTCGACTGCACCGATCGATGTTACAGTCAATGGTACCATGATCGCCATCGCTGACCTGATGAAGTCACTCGCCGTTGTCGAGTATACAAAGGGTGAGGCGGGTCTACCAGACAAGCTTGTAGAGGTTGCGCGCCATTACCAGACTACTTGGGCAACAGCAGTGGCGGAGGTAGACACGAACACTTACCTCGAAAGCGACGCGGAAGGAAACCTGATGGTCTTGTACCGCGACCCGAACGGTGTCACAGACGATGACAAGAGGCGGTTGAATGTTAGCTCGGAAATGCTACTGGGAGAGATGGTGAACAGGATACGTCGGATTGATGTCATGACAACCTCGGACGCTGCAGTCATTCCCAAAGCGTTCGTCGGTACTGTAAGTCTATTCCATCACATTCATCACTTACGGATACTAATTTCCATGCAGGTCGAAGGCTCAATCTACCTCTTCGGTCTCATCTCACCGGACTACCAAAACCTCCTCATGACGCTCCAATCCAATCTCGGCGCTCTCGTCGCCGCACCTGGAGACATGGACTTTGCCAAGTTCCGCGCGTTCAAGAACACCGTTAGAGAAGAAGAGGAACCCATGCGTTTTGTTGATGGAGAACTGGTGGAGAGGTTTTTGGATGTAAGCGAGGAAGTACAAAGGAAGGCCGTTGAGGGATTGGGTGTGGAGCTCGAGGAAGTCAAGGGATTGATTGAGGGACTGAAGAGGTTACATTAATACAGGGGGATGTACATAGCTAAGCTAGTAACATGAGTTGAAAGTACTCATCGCACAAATGCAAGAAAGGCAAAAAACTACATTCGCTTCAATGTCATGTGAAAGGAAACTAACCACCTCGTCGCTTCACCTCTTTTTCTTATCAGGACAAGTATTAGAAAGGAATGAAAGTACCAAGTCCAGAACGCCTTCGATATCGTGTCGCCATGACAAACTCCGTGTTGAGCCGCTGTACATGCTCCAATCCCATTACCGCGCCTGAACTCCCTCGCTTTTTGAATAAACGTACATTCTCATCGTACACAACATTACATGCATCGCCAGTTTTGAACGCCCGAACGCCTGTCACCCGTATAGTCGACACAATCGTGTCGTTGAATTTGTAGTCGCTGTAGAAATCTCAGGACTCTTCAGTCCTGTTCACGAGGCGGGTTTCGTCGATAAGTTCCACTGGCCTCGCCCCCAGGCTTCTGCTGTTGCTCGTGGTCTTGCTCGTGGTCTTGCTCGTGGTCTTGCTCGTGCTCCTGGTTCTGGTCCTGTACCCGCGCCCGATGATTGTACTTTCTGCGGTTATTCTTCCTAGGCTTCCTCCTGAATCCGGTGTTGGGGTCCGCGCCGTTTCCATTCTGATGGCGGTCCTGGTGGTTGTTCTGGTACGGCATCCTACCGGCCCGTACGCCGTTGACCTCGCGGTGCTGATTTGTGAACGGCTCGGGTGTGCCTTCGGTGTATCCAATGTAGGAGGTGTGTTCATGGACCCACATAGGACGTTGGGTTTGTTCGTAGTAAGGGGGTGGGCCGGCGTTGAAGTCAAACGGGTTGTGGACTTGGTTGTAGTAGTGGGTGTAGCCATCATATAGGGGGTATGGCTGATACCCGTAGAACCCAGGGCTGCAGAACGGCAGTCCCTGAGGATGTTGCGGCAGCTGGTACTGGGGCTGAGCGTTGAAGCCTTGCTGGGGCGGCGTCGCAGGGGAAGAGACGCGCTCGCTCGAGGCAGGGCTGGGATGCGCAAGCTGGCCGGGAACAAATTCAGCGGCCGTAGGCCTCAGAAGGACGGGAACTGGGCTGTCCGACATTTTAGGGAGAAAGGTCGGTGTAAAAAGACTGTGGAGTTGGGGCTGCTTGGGGAGTGTTAAGTCGAGGGGGAAAGGGTGCGCCGGAATTTATATAGAGAGAGTGGGCAGCAAGCGAACCAGAAAGTGAAATACTCCTTGGCCCACCGATTGCGCACTGCAGGTGGGAAGTGAAAAGTGAAAAGGTGTGCCTGCCGGCGCGAGGTAATGTACTGTGCCGGCTCAAGCGGCGATGGACCAAGATTGTGCTGCGTTTGTTCGTGAAAGCACTGAACCCTGTTAGCAAGCTAATCGCACCCTTGCTGGGCGGCCTGTTGAGGGATTTTAGCAATGTGTCGGTGACGAAAAAGTGAGGTGGAGGAGCTCATGCGCGGTACCACGGTATTGGTTATCGTCACCCAGTAGGAGGGACCCAGATTGTACAGTCGCAGCAATGGATTGGTGTCCTGTCTATTTCAATACACCGTCTTCGTCACTGCTGTCCCCTGCTGTGTTCTTCACGCTGTTGAGTTCGACTGTGTCATCGCCTTGGTCTTCGTCGTCCCTAAAGCCCTCCGTGTTCGCGTCACCATCGCGGTCGAGAAGTGGGGCCTCTCCCGTGGTAGCTACCACACTCTTCTTCTCAGTCTCCTCTCTCATGCCGATGATCACGCTGCCAGCTACCAGCATGGCTGCCCCAAGCCACCATAACCCCGGTAGGTTCTCGCTGAAGATAATGAAGCTAAGGACGGCGGTGACGATGAAATTCGCAGACGTGTTTATGATGCTGACGCGTACGGTCGAGGAAGCGAGGGTAAGGGCACGCGTGAAGAGCCCCCACATGATCGCGTTGAAGACGAGGTTCATACCGAAGAAGAGCTGCGCGTTGCGTTAGTTGTGTGCGGGTAATAGCAGGCATGATAGGTGGAGAGGACGCACCCCTCGTATCGCATATTCAACAATCTTGTTTGACGCACTCAGCCCGAATGCCAGGGCTATGGAGCTCGACCAGGAGGCAGTGAGCTCTGTGGTTGTGCTACATCATCGTCAGTACACAGCGTGGGTTAGGGCGACGCGACGTTTTCTTACAGCTTTGCGAAGACGCCATTGAAAGCTGCACAAGCGCCACTGGAGATGGCAAGCATCAGCCACGCTGACTTGGTTTGCGGAATAGACATGATCGCGGCCGTACTGGGGTGCTGCGGGGAATGAGGTCGATGTTCACGGATGCAAGTTGATGATCTGCAAGGTACGACCGGGTGCACTTCCGCGCTTAGTCAATATGGGGTAGTAGTACATGCAGGTCGCATCTTGACGCAATATATGAGGCAAGTGCTCTGTAGTGCGCATGCTACTGGGAGTCATAGTCTACTGCCCAGCTCTTCTATCCACTATCAGTCAAGAAGAGTTCACTAGAATTGCACTCCACCCTGAAGTCATCACCTGAGTGTAGCAGGAAGGGTACGATGGCCCAGATATGCAAAAGATCATAATTGTTCCAATTTATCAGCGTTAAACCAACGCGATTCACGCATTCAGTCCCAAACTCCTGTTCATGCCAGAGGTATCGTGAAAGCCTTCCAAGGCTATTTTAGCCGTAACGCCGAAAGCATATGATGACACAGGTCTCTAGAGAGACAGCTGTTCCTGCCGGTGGATTGCATCTTGCGCAATCGCATTTGCTTGAACGCGATTGTCTCCTTCCTGTCTGCTGCAGTGCATCTCTGAACGCCCTTTAGGTCGTCTAGGCCTCGCCAGGACGCTTCGCGTTACAGGAGACGATCTTGACGCGGTCGGCATGGACTTGATGAGTGTTGTCCAGCTTGAAGTTGATATCCTTGATGATAAAGGTCCAAACGTCGTCGCAGAAGCGGTAGGTATCGAGATGTCCCTACGGAGTTTCAAGTCAGCACACGATGCTTCTCACTGGTCGCCCGTGCGCGACTGACCTTGAATGTCAAGCGCGACTTGACCTTCTCTGAGAGCACATCGGCAACGGCCTTGTCGAAGTTGAGGAGGATCTTCATAGCGAGCTGGGGTTCTATCCGGCGCTCGGTGATGAGGTTGTCCAGGGTGTCCGTGAGAGAGCCGCCCAGGCTGTCCTCTGTTAGCCAGCGCTTCCTGCTACGCTCCTCTTGAGTGGCATGTAGTACCTGCTTCGGCGGTAGAGCTCGTAATACTTGGTGTTGTCGGTGGCCATGGTGCTGATAGTTGCGACGAGCTGGTGGTTTGGTCTCGGTGACGCCTGAGCGGGAGCAATGATGGGGGCGCGCCGAGGTGGTTACTAAGCCGTTCGATGCTAGCGCGACGCGGCTTGTTCCGCCTGCATCATCGCCAGCTTCGCGGCGAGTCCATCACGACGAAGCTCCAGCCGCCTCTTTCACCATCCATCTCCGCCTCTACGACCACTAAACCCAACATGTCTCTTACTTATGGAACGGGCGGTGCGACCGCCGCCCTCGGTGTGGTGGGCTTGTGTATGTACCGCGCGCAGGGGCGTAGGCGATAGCTAACGACCTCCAGACATGCTCTTCAACAACGAAGGCGAAGCTTTCAACGTACGCACGCGTTCCTACCAACCCGATACGGACATGGCTGATTATATACCAGGTCGGAGCTTTCCTCGAGAGCATATCGCCATACACATTTGCTAGTGTCGGAATTGCGCTATGCATTGGTCTCTCTGTCGTAGGCTCGGCATGGTACGTCTGACTGTCAGGCACACACACGCATCGCATCTGACAATCGCAAAGGGGCATCTGGACAACCGGTGTGTCCATCGTCGGTGGAGGTGTCAAGGCGCCACGGATACGAACCAAGAACTTGATCTCCATCATCTTCTGCGAAGTCGTCGCTATTTACGGTGTCATCATGGCCATCATCTTCTCCTCCAAGATGAACCAGCTCTCGGACCCTGAGCTGTTGTACTCTGGATCCAACTACTTCACTGGATACGCGCTGTTCTGGGCTGGAATAACCGTGGGCATGTGCAACCTGATCTGCGGTGTATGCGTGGGCATCAACGGAAGTAGCGCTGCCCTGGCCGATGCTGCGGACCCTGCAATGCAAGTAGCTGTCTTTCCTGGGTCTCTGCTTCGATGCTAACTTTGTTATAGGTTCGTCAAGATCCTTACCATCGAGATTTTCGCTGCCATTCTCGGACTGTTCGGTCTCATCATCGGACTGCTCATGCAGAGCAACGCCAAGGACTTCCAGTGAGCGAAGAGTTCTCGCTTTTTCGCCTCAGGGCACAGTCATACGAACTATATCGAACCTCGATCCCGCCTAGAAGGACGCCAAGGAGGAGTGTTTTCGAGTGCCAGCTTGTGTAGCTGGTGAAGAGGTTACTGAAGGTCATTTGCAGAGGTTGTACAATGTACATAGGAAGGGGCGCTTGTATAATGCATGTAATATGAGCGAGCATCGGCGTTAAATACCATTTATCGATTACTGTTTCCAATGTTCTTGGATGATTCTCTTGAGTGAACTGGTGGATCTGATCGACTCGGCGTGTAAGCAATGGCCCGTGCACGATGTCCACAGGGTGGGATGTCCGCTCTACTCCGCTTCGACTCAACATCGACAACATTAAACATGGCCACCACAGGTTCAAAGTTGAAGGCAGCGATCTTGGTAGTGTCTGAGACAGCTTCCGAAGACCCATCAACCGATAAATGCATACCAGTCCTCAAGAAGGTCTTCGGAGATCTCGGAAATGACCAATGGGAAGTCAGCGAAACCGAGATAGTACCCGACAACACTCTCGCAATCCAGAAGACTATCAAATATTGGACTGACGGCCCGGAGCCAATCAATCTGATCGTTACAAGCGGAGGTACTGGTTTCGCAACTAAGGATGTCACTCCGGAGGTGCGCGCTCTTATTCTCGAAATGGCCCAAGACACGCAGCTAATAGAAACAAGGCAGTTACGCCGCTGATTGATAGACATGCTCCTGGTCTTATGTAAGTGATTTCTCTCGATACCTTATGTGAAGGCTCACATACAACCAGACATGGCATGCTCACAACTTCATACGCCGTCACGCCGTGTAAGTCTTTGAACTCCAAGTTGATCATCCAGGCTAACGTTTGATTAGTTGCACTTATGGCGAGACCTGTTGCTGGAGTGCGAAAGAAGACTTTGATGTTGACTTTGCCTGGATCGCCAAAAGGTGCCAAAGAAAATCTAGAAGCAGTTCTGAAGTTACTACCCCATGCGTGCATCCAAGCCGCCGGTGCAGAGTCGAGACCGCTGCACGTCGGTGGTGTAGAGAAGCTCGAGAAAGACGCGGGTATTTCTTCGGGTGGCGCTACTGCAGGTACGTGATGTGGTATTTCCCCCGGAAAAGCTGCAACTGATAAGGGTAGGAACTGGAAGTGGACATCATCACCATCACCATCATGGACATTCGCATGGTCACGGCGGTCACGCAGGACCCAAAGCTCACACGAACCCAGAAGAGCGTCCCCAGTCTAATGATCCTTCCGCGGGACCAACTCGCAGATATCGATCGTCGCCGTACCCTATGTTGGCAGTCGAAGATGCGCTCAAGCTAATCTCGGAGCAAACCCCAGCTGCTGCAGTACTGAAGGTGCCAGTAGACATGAGACTTAGTGGTTCGGTCCTTGCCGAGGACGTCAAAGCCACTGAGTCTGTCCCGGCCTTCCGAGCTAGCATTGTCGACGGATACGCGGTCAAGATCCCAGCGACTGGCAAGTTCGAAAAGGGAACTTACCCTGTTTCGATCATATCCCATGCACAGCCTGGCGAAGTTAAGGAATTGAACGAAGGCGAGATTGCCAGGATTACGACTGGAGCCCCGCTTCCTCCTGGTGCTGACGCTGTGGTCATGGTTGAGGATACAGTATTGAAGAGTCTGACCGAAGATGGAAAGGAAGAGAAGGAGATTGAGATACTGACTGATGAGATCAAGCCAAACGAAAACGTACGAGAAGTCGGCAGCGATGTCAAAGAAGGCGAGATCATTTTGAAGAAAGGCGAAGGTGTCACAGTCGTGGGTGGCGAGTTTGGCCTCCTTGCGTCTGTGGGTACGACAGAGGTGTCAATCTACAAGAAGCCTGTCGTCGGAGTCCTAAGCACAGGAGATGAAATCATTCCACACAACAGGGAGGGCCCGCTGCGACTCGGAGAAGTACGCGATACCAACCGTCCCACTCTCATCACTGCCGCACGAAGCCATAGGTTCGAAGTCATCGATCTGGGTATCGTCTCAGACAAGTAAGTAAAATTGGAAAAGAATATCCGATTCATCTGTCGCTGACCAAACCCAGGCCCGGCACTCTTGAGCAGAGTCTCCGTGACGCGATGCGCAAGTGCGACGTTATCATCACCTCTGGTGGCGTCTCGATGGGCGAACTCGACTTACTTAAACCAACCATCGAGCGCTCTCTCGGCGGCACGATCCACTTCGGCCGTGTCAACATGAAGCCAGGCAAGCCTACCACCTTCGCTACTGTGCCTGTAAAGGACAATGATGGAAAACCTGTTACCAAGTCGATTTTCTCGCTTCCTGGCAATCCAGCATCAGCCGTTGTGTGCTTCCACCTATTCGTATTGCCTGCGTTGCATCAGCAAGCTGGAATAAAGCCACTCGGACTACCAAGGATCAGAGTTATATTGGATGAGGATGTGAGGATGGACAAGGGTCGTCCAGAGTATCATCGTGCGCTTGTCGTGACGAAAGAAGATGGGTTGCTATACGCCAGCTCAACGGGCGGGCAGAGGAGTAGCCGCATCGGCAGCTTCAGAGGTGCGAATGCGCTGCTTTGTATGCCACAAGGCGAAGGTAGCTTGAAGAAGGGAGAGAAGGTGGAGGCACTGCTCATGGGGAAGTTGGGTGAAGTTGAGCGATGATAGACATGTTCGTCGCAATATTATAGGATGAAAATGCCCGTGCATTATATCTATTACATCTCAGAATGTGTTCCACATCAACCATCTAAGTGTTGTTCCTTCCCAGCCGTCGTCGCTACATGACCCAATATCTAAGCCGAGACAAAGGAAAGAGAAGTCCTGAAGGGTATTCGCAACTGCCGAAATGAACAAAGGAAATTGGGCCAAAACCCAAGGATCGGTACCAGGCGTGAGCTCAACATTACCCTGTCCCATCATCACCGTGCCTGCCTGTACCCGTAAAAACACCGACGCTAAAGTGGAAAGACGATACGAAAGACTTTTTTTTTGAGTTTGTGTGTGACTCATCATGCGGGACCGTGGCTGGACTTGGGCTTCAAGTCTTCCATCAGGACGCTGCCTCTGAGGGATCCGGCGCTCGACGCCAGTGCCTTGCGGTACGCGTTGGTTTGCGAGAACTGCTCCTCGTAGTGCTCCTTCAGCTTGCGCTGCCTCTTCTCCCTCTTGTACATCCAGAATATAGTGGAAGCCAGGCCTGCGATGATCATAGTGAAGACAGCTGTGAGGACACCGCCGACTATTGCCGTTTCCTTCTTTTCTCTTGAGCAGGTCTTAGGAGGTGGGGCAGTGGTTGCGGCGGCCGCTGTGGGTTCATTGGTCGGGCTCGGGGTTTGAAGTTGGAGGGTTGCGCTGAAGGTTGTTGTGATTTGGGGTGCGTCTTCGTTATTGCAGCAGCTCTTCGTGTCGTCGGCGCTGCGGCAGCAGTATGTTCCGGAGTCGCATGTTTGTAGTTGCCATGCTTTTACTGGCTTGAGACCAAGGAAGTCGTTGGAGACTGAAGTGAATTAGTTGGGGAACATCAGATGAGTCAAATGTTTGTGAACTTACCACCAGGGCACAAGTCTTGTTGGCATGCTGCATCTTTTCCTTCCTTGTCTGTACAGCCTCGCGAGAAGATCATACCGATCGACTCGTTTGTTGTTCCCATACACAACCCATTACTCATGCAGATGTCGGTGGACGCGCAGCATCCGCTGTGATTGGCGCTAGGGTTGCATGGCGTGTATGTTTTGTCGAGTGCTGTACCGTCAACGGCATAACATTGCTGACTCGTAGCAACTGCGACCAAGGTTGCGAAGACCGTAAGGAGGGACCGACTCGACACCATATTAGACAAAAGACAGTATAAAACAAGTAAAGGAGTGACTGGTTGCAAAAGCAAGTGATCGCGATGAACTGAAGATATGTGATGAGCGAACTGGATGTGTGGAGAACCTAAGGATGTTTTAGAGCATTAATGTATCCCATATGCTGTCGACAGGACATGCAGGTCCATATTTAGTCTCTAGCCCTACATTCGCAATGTTATGCGGCGAAGCCCTGTACAACCTTCTTCAGCTGGCAAAGCCGATGGTTACAGGGTAGACCCCGCCGACATTTGAAACAGGACAATCAAACCTGGTCTTCGAAAGACCCATGGACCCGTATACGGAGGCATGGGTGACGCAGCTAACAAGCAGTTCGAGGCAAGTGTAACAGCCTCGACGTTGGAAGCAGTGGTACAAAGACGACAAAGTCTATTTCGTTCAGGCGCGACGGCGCTTCCTCCTTCACTTGCTTCAAGGGACGCGCTCTTTCAGATCCACGTACGCGAACATGGCGCTTGCTGATGCGCGCCTCGCTTTTTGCTTTGTCACTTGACAACGGGTCGTTCAGTAATGCTTTTGCTTGCGTTTAGCCGCATGAGGTAGGTAGTGAAAGAGGACGGGAGGCTCGTAGCAAATGAAGAGTCGAGGCGATGATGCGCCAGGTGTGGTGGAAGGTTTGAGATGCGAGGCGGAGTAGGCCACGGCTAGCATCTGATAGGTCGAGTGCCGCTTAGTCTAGCACCACAGACCCCTTTTCGGCACGTACCTGCATTTCCACCATCGAACTCTCTTTGCCATCGCTGCGACATATCACCGTTGACAACGGCGCCGCGAGCGCCCCGAGCTGTCAATCGCGGGGATGTGGTAGCAAGCATCAATCGTTCCCTCGGTCGGTCAATAGGTCAGATGTTATCAGTTTCGCCGATCCAGAAACAACCCATCACATCGGTGGCGTCTATCTCCATCATTCCAAGCTTCTTTTCCATGGAGATTACTCAGCGCAATGACCTCTTCGACCGTTGCCTGTTTTGACTGTTGGAGGATCGCCCACGATCTCGAGCTCGCCTGTACCCGGTGCGTGCAGATCTGGGCACCCTGGCCTGCGGCACCATCCAGAGTTTTTTACCTGTTGGCGGCGACGGCAGGGCCTCCGCGTGATGACGAACTACGGCTGTAAATTAGAACACACAGTCTTCAGGTGCCTCATCTCTCAAAATTCCACCGCCCAGTGTACTTGCCTACTGCCCAATCTGGCGCTCACGTCATCTCGCGACCAGCCTTCCGGACCCTTTCGAGGTTGGATCGGGCAGGGTGACATGAGCAACAACGTCTATTCAAGCACGGTCGACGGATCAGGGATGCAATATGGGGTGTTCGGAGTATTCGGAGGCTGCAATGAAGATCTATGGACGACGATGGACCGACCCGACCACGACCTGTATCACGGTCCACGTCACGATCGCAAGACGCTTCATTCAGCCCTGTAGACGTTCAGCCACCGCAGGCTTACTAGCACGGCTATCGCGCGCGGACATCGGAAGCCTACCAGCGAACACTCGCGGAGTCTCTAAGCAATGGTACATTTCCCATGAACTTTACAGTCTTTCCGGTCCGTCTTCAGGCATCTTCGTAGCCCAAGCCAGCAGCCCCAGCTATCAGACCGCGAAATGACAACCCTGACTTAGCCATCCAGCTCTTTGAGTAAGTCCTCTATCCTCCTTATCTGATTGCGCGGACCTCCATCAACCACCACCCACTCCAATAAACTTTCTTTCGCCATCTTTGCCCAACGTCTGGCATCTCCCATCATTCCATAACCTGCGTACACGTACGCCAGTCTCTCATAGTCCTGGGCGAGCAGAGTATCCAAACCCTCTCGTTGACTAATCTCCATTACTTCTTTCTCCCAAGCAACAATTTGTTGGGCATTGTAGGTTTCTGCCGTCAAGTTCTCCAGCATCTTCCGGAGTTGGGCGAACCTCGCACGGCGCTGGTCACTACCAGCTACGTCGTATTGCGAAGCAGTGCAAAGAGAGCAAGTGCACTTGAAGTTCCAGCCTTCCTGATAGAGTGTTTGTCTGTCGGCGTGCTTCAAGTCGATTTTACCATACGAGATACCAATCTCTTCCCCAGCCGCGATGTTCCGTTGAGCTTTGATCTCCATTGACAGTGTCTTCGGAACAAAGCGCGCGTGCGCATTGGGTTGGCACGCGTGATTGATCCGGGCAACGGAAGGGAAGAGACACATGTAAGCGTCGTCTACTTCGCCATCAGCGAGCTGGCATGCGAAAGCATTCGTCTTCATGATGTCTTCAACTTTGCTGCCACCCAGGCTCTGATCCAATGCGAGCACCGAGTTCCGATCTGCCTGAGGTAATCGATCAAGTGCGGCACTGAAGAGTGTTTGGCCTTGCGCACGCGTAACTTGCGTAGGAAAATGCGAGCTCGCGATGATACGCGCAGTATCGAGTAATATCGTTTCTCCTTTCTCCAAAGCCTTTGTGGTGATTAGGCCTTTGCCCTTGCCCGGGAAGGCCCGAACTTCGAGACCATCATCCAAGCCCTGGTGTTCCCCGTTCAGAGCTAGGAAGGCCGCAGATATCGCATCTGCAGCTACAGGTCTTGCGATAATGCTTAAAGCATGTCCGCCTCTTGTTTCGGAAGTCGTGTGTGTGCAATATTTCTTCTGCTTCCCTTGAGCACAGGCTGGATCGTGCGACCACGGTAAGTGCTGAAGGGGCGTCTCTTTCGGCAATGGTTCTGAATTGCCGGTGGTGAATGGACAATGTGGTAATTGGAGTGGCAGTTGAGCTTGGACCGCGAATTGATGCGGCGCGTTTGGGCATTGCGGTGACGCATAGGCGTACAACCCAAATGCGCATGTCGCGAACGACAAGATCAGAATCCGCATACAACTCATGATGGTAATGGAATGTCTACGGAACGCATCACGGAAAGCGGTTGAGATGTCTACTTCTCTCCTCGCGTCTGTAACACTTCTGAAACAGGAATCGCTGGGCAGCTGCGTCTTGCGCACAACATATTCTGCGATAACTCAAAGCCCAACATTTCGACTTCATCACGACATACTTCTGTCAAATTTCTCGTCATCTCGTGCCTGAACACTTCGTGGGATGGTGGTGAGCAAGTTGAAGCGGACCCATGACTCGACTGCGCCTACCAATCCATTTGAGGACGCGCCAGCAACGCCACCTATCTTGACAGGGCCACGATCAGCACCGTGCCATTCGAAACATCACCACACCACCACATATCGTTCTTTTGATCGTCAGGGCGAACAGCTTAGTGCACGCTATGCGGCTGAAGCCGAGAAGGCCACGATGGGGCCCAGCCCGCTGATTAACTCATCTCCACACCAGCGCATCCTCGTCATGCTTTGACGTGGTAGCACACGGCTGTCAGGCTGTTTCATATCGCGGATCGTGCCACAAGTTGCCGGATGCCGTGCCACCAGTTGTCGCACAGTACGAACTCTACGAGATTGATTAAATCACAATAAGAGTACGAAGGCTTTTTGAGGTAGTGACAGGTGACACCCAGACATCGACGAGGATGGGCCTGGTTACTTAAAGGGGTATATTCATGTGTTCGACCTGGTACTGGGATGGACCTTCATCACGGTGAACACGTAGAGGGACTCACTCGCCCTTCTGCCTGAAGGAGAGAAAGTTTAGTGCAAAGTTTGGCAGAAGTCAACCACACGTTGGGCTTCAACTGCCGACCATGCAGGTTCGGAACGGAGTCATCACGACATGATCAGTCAATGGTGCTATCAAACACTGCGTGAGCATGCGTGAGGCCACGAGTAGTAGGTGACACGCAACGTATTTT